CAATAACAATTAAACAATTAACCAATAACACAATTAACACTTACACAATTAACAATTAACACTAACCAATAACACAATTAACACTAACAATTATCATTAACATTAAGAATTAAATTAACAAAATAAATTAATTAACATCTAATTATGAAATAAATGCAAAAAATTAAAAAAATTAATTGAGGGGTTAGATGAGGAGGACCTTTCACCCACACAAGGAGGATAGGGGGCTGCGTCGGTGGAGAAACTTCGTCGGAGGTGGTTTGGTCGGAATCTTGAAGCTTTAAGAAGGGGAAGAAAGAGAGAAAAAAGAAGGAAAAATGGGGGAGAAATGGAAGGGAGAAAGGGAAGGAGGGAGAGAGAGAGGAGGAGATTGGAAGCAAAATGAAAGAGAGAGGGAAGATTTCTTGGGAATTTTAGGCAAATCGACGCTAGAAGGTGGAGAAGAGAAAAATTGGAGGAAAAATTCGAGCGGTTGGGTTTTTTAGGATTTCAATTTTAGCGATTGGTCGAGGTCCGTCACTAAAACCATTGCTAACAACTAAAAATAGCTATTTTCCCCCCAATGGGAGGGTTTTGGCGATAGTTTAGCAATGAGCCGAGGTGCGTTGCTAAATTTGAAACTTTGCGACGGTTTTTGAAAAAAAAAACCGTCGCTAAGTTGCTTATATTTTTTATTTAGCAATGATTTATGTAAATCATTGCTAAAAATGATCTCCAAAATTATTTTTTTAGTCCCTCACAAAAGTTCTTCATACCCTCGCAAATTTCGTTAATTAGCGACGATTTTTAGACCGTCGCTAAATGCCCCTCGCAAATCTTCACCTTCCTTGTAGTGATTTTTGCTTTTTCGGTTTCTTTATTTTTTCTTTCATACATATTTAATTTTTGAATGTTTTAGGTATTTTATATAAAACATATTTAATTATAACATAGTAACAAACATTAAGGTAAAAGTGTATTAGTAATTTTGAAAACATAAATGATGAAAATAATAAATTTGATGATGAATTTAACAATATTTAAAGAAGAAATCACAAAAGAAAAATGCTCATAAAAATTTACTTGCAATACAAATGTCAATTGCACGAGTTGCATGTGAAATCTTCAACATAAACCATCTCAATTCTTATGTCAACTATCACAAACAACCATAAACCACAATTATAGATAACTCAATTTTTCATTTTAAAAAAATCAAATATAAGATCTATTATCCAACCAAATATTTTAATATTCAGATTGGACGAGTTTTGTCACATAAATGGTTTTTCTATTATTTTCTAACGTATTCCTTCAAGTGAAAACTTTTTTTTTTTAAAGTAGAAATAATAAAATTCGAACTCGTAATTGTTTTATTATTATAATATTATGTCAAATGACTATTTCAATCCAAAAATTTAAATTGATGGATGAGGCTTTATTATATAATTTATATTGATTTTTAACAAATTCTTTAAAAATAGAGGGTATGCCTTAAGGAAGATAGAGTGATGTTGGTGGTGGTTGTCTTGCTCATTCTAGTATAACAATGGCGATGGCAGCAATGACGACATCAAATGATAGCAATAGTAGTGATTGAATTAGTTTTGTGACTTGGTGAGATGAAACATTCTACTTCTTTGTGGGTTTTTTTTTTGTCATTCATTTCGGTGATAGTATCATAGTTCTAAATAATGACTATTATATAATGGTTACGGGACACACTGTTATCGCTATTCTATATTATAGGTGCCCCAATACCGTTTCACTTGTATAAAGATGTCGTTACTATTATACCGTCATTTATCGTTATATAATGTGTTATATATAAAAAAAAATTCAAAATTCGCCTTAATTAACCACCACTTATTCCATTAAATGTATAATCTGTTTTGTTTTCTCTCCATTTGTGATTTATATCTAAAAAAATAGAGAAATAAGAGAAACGTGCATGAGAACCGATAATTAAATAGATGAAATATATAAGAAACAATATACAATGTTAGAACACAAAAGATGTGGGAAGAAGAAGAAGAAGAAGAAACAAATGAGACTTAGGCTTCATTTGTTTGGTGGAAAACAACTTTTATAGGAAAATCAATTAATGAGGAAGCTATTTTCCAAGAAATTATTTTTTAAAAAATATTTTCTACCGTTTGGCAATTACATGAAAAATCTATTGGAAAATATATTTTAGCGTTTGTTTGATATGAAAAATTAAAATACAAAAACGGTATGTGATTGTTACATTAACAAGTTTTGAGAAAACTTCAAAAAAGCATAATCATAATTTCACAATATAAGATACATTAAGAAAAAATTAATAAATTTTCATAAATATTGACTCTAAAATTTTAATTTTAAAAAATAAAATATACTTTTTTAACCATCAAACCAATTCATCAAAATTACTTGGGACAAAATTACGTCAATATTCACATTAGTAAAAAAAATAAAAAAATAAAGTAATCTTAGCATTGTTATTTTAGTAAGTCAATTAAGAATTTTTTTTAGAAATTGAACTGATAATTTAGTTTAAAAAATAATTTTATAAATTATTAGTTATCATTTGTAGATAATTATTCATTTGGTTTCAAAAGATTAATATTGGAATAATTTGTAACTAATTATTTCTACAATTACTAATAAAATTTTACAACTGATTAAAATTAGAAATTATTGATTTAGTTGCAAATAAATATTTTTAGAAAAATAATATATTTATTAATGAATTAATTAATTTTAATTTTTTTACAAAAAATTACGAGTCTTGTAATAATCATTTTCAATCATTTAAGTATAGTGTAAGTAGTGTTTGAGATGATAGTAAAAAAATAAAGATAAATTATTGAAATATTTATCATAAAAATAATTTTAAGGTGTGAAAATGGTTTTTAAGAATATTTAATATATCTATAAATTAAAAAAATCAAATATCAATAGAAATAGAGAAAAAATAATTAAATAATAAATAATAATTGACAAGGAATAATTAAAACTTAATTTGATATATTTTAAATAAAAAGAAGATAGAGAAAAAAATTGTTAAAATATATCGAGAGAGAGGTAAGTAACGCGAGAGCGAGACGACTCGTGAGAAGGAAAATGTTTTCATCTTTTTAAATTGAAAAAATATTTTCTCAAAAATACTATATAATTTTTTGTTGACTGAAAATTATTTTTCGTTGACTTTTTTCCTAAACGCGAAACAAATATCGAAAAATAAGAAAAACAAGTTTCGGATCTTGTTTTTTCCTAAACAAACATAGCCTTGGAGGAAAACCTAGAAAATCAAATAAAGATGAAGAAAGGAGGATGTGAATTGAGAAGGAGTAGAAGAGCGAGAGAAAGTTGTTCTCTAGATGAAACTCTACTCATGTGATATTCACAATCAAAGCCTAACCTGACTTTAATTGAGTAAAACATAAATTAGTCATTTTAGTTTGAAAAAGTAAATTAGTTAGTTTTTCTTGTTTTAAAAACCAATTATTTATTATTTTTTTCTATTTATGTTATTTTTTAATATTTTTCTTTTTATTTTAAAACATAGAAAAAGGAAAAAATAAATTTATATCATGAAAAATTGATGAAAAAGAAAACATTTTGTTAAATAAAATATATTATATTAAACGTGATAAGACTTATTAAAAAATTAAAAATTTAATTCTTGAAAAAAAAAACTAATTGATTCATTTATTAAAACTAGAAGGATTAATGTATAATTTACTTCCTATTATTCAACTAAATTGCATGTTGGATCTTGCACCAAAATAAAAGGTTGTCAAGAATGTAGGATTGAATTAAGTAACTTATAAATTACCTCTTTAGTTTTGAAAAATAAATTAATTAGTTCTTTTTGTTTTAAAAATTAATTATTTAATTTTTTTCCATTTTATATTATTTTCTAATTTACTTTTTAAGTAGAAAAAAATAAATTTATATCATGAAAATATTGATGTAAAAAAAATTTATAAAATAAAATAATATTATATTAAATATGGTTACAACTGATCAAAAGATTAAATAAATAATTTATTATTTTTTGTGATATTAATATATTAAAAATATTATTATTATTTTTTGTAATAAATTCAATTATTCTTATATAATAATATTAAATTATTAAAAATATTATTATTTATTAGTATATTTAATTAATTAAATTATTAAAAATATTTGAATTAACATAAATTTAATAACTGTTAATGTATTTATAATATTAATTATTATAATTGTTATTTTATCATCGATGATGAGATGGGATTGTGATCATTTTTCAATAATGACTACTATTTAAAACTATAGATAGGATTATGGATTGATAGATTAGCTTTGATGATGGCGGAAGATGATGAGCGGCGTTCACGCGCGGGAGAAGAGAGAATTAAAACTTCAATCTTTTTCGGGACTGCATTTCTTCTTTTAAAATTTTTTTATTATTATTATTTTAGTTTTAAATTCTTTGCTATTTAGTTTTTAGAAGGAAAAAAAGCACGTCTTTTGAGGACACATGTCGATTAACCAAAAGATCTATTTTTTTATCAAAAAAAGAAAAAAGAAAATTGATGATAATTAACTTAAAAATTTTAAAAGTCGAAGATATATGCGAGTTTGATCAAAGTTCAGAATGGTTAGGCGTTATTTAGCCTACCAAAAACAACAAAGCTGAGATAACCGTTCAGTAAAAGCAAAGAATGCCTCATCATCATCATCATCTTTGAAATCCAAACCAACCGCCTCTTCAATTTCTCCCATGCTGGCTTCTACGTTCCTACATTATTTAAGGTAAATTATCTTGTGTCATATTTCTCCCACGTCCACGTTTCCCTCTAATCTAATGCCTTCTTCACAATATTCATCTTTTCTTTTTCCTTTCTATTATTTATACTTATCTCCAAAAACCAGGGCCGATAATCTTTGCTTGCTTCCTTCTACATTTGCAAACTCAAATCATTAATCTCACTTCTCCTCAAAACCCATTTCAGTTTTCCATTAGGATTGAATTTTTATTATAGCCAGCCATGAGGTTATATGTTTATGTCTTGCAAGCCGAAGACTTGCCTGTGAAGAACACTTACGTTAAACTTCAGGTTGGTAAACACAAGTCCAGGACTAGAGTTTCCAGAAACAGCTCAAACCCTGTTTGGAATGAGGAGTTTGTTTTCAGGGTTCATAGTAATAATGATCAACAAGAGTTGGTTGTGTCTGTCTTTAATCATGATGATGATGAAGATTTTGGCAGCTTGTTTAATGGCTCTGGAGAGTTAGTGGGTGTGGTTCAGATTCCTGTTTGGTCTGTTGTAGCAGAGCCGAATCAGACCTTGCGATCTACTTGGTTCTCTCTTGAAAAGCCCATGACCGTAAAGTTCATCGATATGGACTGTGGTTAGTGTCTCTAACTCTAAATTTTTATTAATGTGTTCTACTTTTGTGTTTGGTTTAAGCATGTAGTGAAAATTAACTGATCTTTTAGGTTAGAGGATGAAACTTGCATTTGCTTGCTTGAGGATGAAATACTGAAATTTTCAGGACCCATTTTGCTTAGTGTTATAAAACAAGTAGTGATAATGTTCATTGATACTGAGAAAGAAGATATATTTTTTTTTTTATTGAAGTGGGAATTCGTGCTTCAATGACCAACACATTGATTGGAGTAGTAAAGTGAGGATTTTATTTTTATTTTTTGAGCCTGGACCCTTCACATAGGATTTTCGGTGTTTAATTCTGTTTTCTTACACATTGACAGAGATTGATTGAAAATTATAATTAAATTTAATCAGTAATTCTCCATAGGATGGTTTTCCCGTCCCTCCAGTGATTTTTAACTTCAGATTTACTAGGCAATTAATTCTGTGATAATTTTGGGGTGAATCTCTTGTAACTTGTAAGTGTTGAAGTCTTGTTGATTTTCCTTGACTGGGCCAATTTATATAGAGGTTCATGTTTTGGCAACTATGATTACTCTTTGACAATATATTGCCAGTTGTGGAATTAACTACCATGCTTATGCGGGGATTTGATTTTCCATTGCTTATCCATAAAATTCCCCATAATTTTGGTTCAGCTGCTCCACACGATTGGCAATTTTGCCTTGTATTTCAGCTTAGTCTGTTGACATTCGTGTAGTCTTGATGGTGGTGCATATGCAATTTTAGATGAAGAATGCATGATATATCGTGTTAGGACTTAGGCGCAATGGAGACCTCAATTTTATATATGAAATGAAAATTCTGCTCGGTCTCTGCCTATGCAATTCGTGTAGTCTTGATGGTGGTGCATGTGCAATTTTAGATGAAGAATGCATGATATATCGTGTTAGGACTTAGGCGCAATGGAGAGCTCAATTTATCTATGTGTAGGGAAAATTCTGCTCGGTCTCTGCCTATGCAGAAAACGTGACAATTCTTTGGCTTACCGCTTCGTTTACGCAAACCCAAATGTCAATGAGGACTATAAAGAATCTGAAGGCCCATGTGTATCATCTCATGGTATGCATTGCTATAAAGCTCCATGTGTAAAGATAGCAGAAGGGAAGAAGTTAATGAAGACCATCGTGAGCCGTTTGGAGAGGGTTTTCAATAAGCATGAGGAAAATTCAAGAACGGATGATTCTTCAGAGCTAGCTAGTGCTTCTTCTGATTTTGAGGATTGTGAACATTCATCCAGTTGTAGTTTTGAAGAAGCAATGGAGATCATGTGTTCAAGAGATAATGAACAAGAAATGCCGGAGAACCTCCAGGGTGGTATTCTTCTTGATAGGATATATGTTGCACCCTCGTGGGATCTCAATATGTTTCTTTTTGCACCCAATTCACAGTTTCGGAAGAACCTGGCAGAGATTCAGGGAACAAAAGATGTTGAAAAGGGGCTTGGACTTGGAAATCAGCGAACATGTCTCATCTAATGCGAACTGTTTCCTATACAAAAGCTGCAACAAAGTTAGTTAAGGCTGTTAAAGCTACCGAGGAGCAAACTTATGTAAAAGCGGATGCAAAGGAATTTGCTGTTTTGACAAATGTTAGCACGCCAGAAGTTCCATATGGAAATACATTCAACATTGAGTTGCTATACAAGATATTTCCTGGTCCAGAAATATCTTCAGGAGAAGCATCTTCCCACCTCTTGATATCATGGGGAATAAATTTCTGTAAAAGCACAATGATGAAAGGTATGATTGAAGGAGGAGCGAGGCAGGGACTGAAAGAGAGTTTTGATCAGTTTGCCAACTTGTTGGCTCAGAATTTTAAGACAGTGCATTCTATGGATTTATTGAACAAGGACCATATGCTGGCAACATTGGAAGCAGAACACCAGTCAGACTGGCAATTGGCATCAGATTACTTCTGGAATTTTACTGTTGTGTCCACCATTTTTATGATTTTATATGTAGTTGTGCATATTCATTTCTGTGAGCCAAGCAAAGTTCAAGGTTTGGAATTTATTGGTCTTGATTTGCCAGATAGTTTTGGACAGCTCATCACTTGTGCAATTATAGTCATTCAATTGGAACGTGCAACTAACATGGTGAAACACTTCATACAAGCTAGGCTTCGAAAAGGTAAGATCTTATTCTACCTGCTTATATCTTATTTCAAGCCTTTGTCTGAACCACCCTGAAATTGTTATCACTCATGTAACTCTGTTCTAGGATTCATTTAATTTATTAACTATTTCATAGGCAGTGATCATGGGGTCAAAGCCCAAGGTGAAGGATGGGTTCTTACTAGAGTTTAATAATTATATGTGCAAAACAATGTTGAAGCTATATAATGCAGAAATACTAGAGTTTGATGCAATGGATGAACCACCCTCAGTTCTTGATGTGGAAGTTTTTGATTTTGACGGTCCATTTGACCAGGCCACCTCACTTGGGCATGCTAAGATAATTTTTTTGAAGCATACATCAACTGAACTAGCAGACATGTGGATCACCCTCGAGGGAAGGCTTGCTCAATCTTCTCATTCAAAGCTACATTTGCGAATATTTATAGACAATGACAAAGGTGTTGAAACTGTTAAGGAGTACTTAACAAAGATGGAGAAGGAAGTTGGGAAGAAGGTAAACACCAAAGATATCTGTTGGAATAACTTTTAATGGAACTTTCTTATCATCCATGTGTAGTTAACTGCTTCACCAGCAGCAGAGAGTTTTTTTTTTCCTCGGCATTGGTAGCACATATCTAAGGTTCATTGGATTCTAGGTTCAAAAAGAGAAAAAAGGGTACAGGATTCCATTACTGAATTCTACACTTTTTTGCCTTTAATTTCTATTATATAGAAATGTTATCTAGATTGTATCTCACATTGTCGCAGTTGAACTTACAATCACCTCACAGGAATTCGATATTCCAGAAATTGTTTGGGTTGCCACCAGAAGAATTTCTCATCAATGATTTTACATGCCACCTGAAGAGGAAAATGCCTTTGCAGGTGCTAGTTATGGTTTCCATTTCTAGATTTACACTCTTAAGAAGGAATTGATTATTAGGCCATTTTAATTTAATTACTCTATTTTGTTTAAATATAATAAATACATAGTTGGTAGGATGATGTGAAACCACTGTAATATCCGCAAAGCTGGAGATGGCCTCTTTGTTAAAATTCCTAACATGTTGGTTCATTTTAGAAAATTTTCAAATAACGCTTATCAGGATTGCATGGATATGAAAGGAATGACCTCACCTTACTAGCTACTACTACTACTACAAATTTATGCAGAATGCATTGGATGATCTTGCACGCTAAACTAACTCCAGTTAATTGTTTTCCAAAGCACCCGTGGCTTGATGCGGAGATGTCTATAAAATGCCGGGAAGGCTTTTCCTATCCGCAAGAATTCTTGGTTTTTATGCCAATTTGTTTGGACATAAAACAAAATTCTTCTTTCTCTGGGAGGATATTGAAGACATCCAAGTGCAATCTTCATCGCTATCATCTGTGGGTAGTCCTTCTCTGGCCATAGTTCTGCGAAAGGGCAGAGGTCTTGATGCTAGACGTTGGGCGAAATCACAAGATGAAGAAGGCAGGCAAAGATACTACTTTCAATCATTTGTTTCATTCAATGTCGCCAGCAGGTTCAGTGAGATGAATAATTTTTGTTCAGCACTCTTAACTCGAAATAGTACGTTTCTTTTATTGGAGCTGATGGGATTCACTTGTTGTATCAACAGGACAATCATGGCCTTGTGGAAAACGAAAACAACGATCCCTGAACATAAAGCACAAATTGCTGAAGAACAGCAACTGGATCAAGAAAAAGGTTCCATCATGCTTGAAGACTATGGATACTTTCTGGATGCTGAATATGTAAATATGCCCAACATCTACTCTGCTGAACTTCCTGTTAGTGTAAGCAATCAATTCCCGTCTCATTTACGTCTCCAGTTCATTTATACTATTCAATCATGTAGTTGAGTGTTTCATCAGAAATTTGTCTAAGGAACTAGCATCAAGAATATAAAACAGATGAGGATTATGTGGCTTCTGATCATATTACATTTGCTTGCGACTTAAACTATGAGGTTGATACACTGAATTTGTTTTTCAATTGTGCCTTGTGAGCCTGGATTAGGACTCTTTATGTATAGTATATCTGATATGATGGCTAAGACTTGACATTCAAGCCTAATGATAATTCTACATATGCCTCTCACAATCAAGCACAGCGTGTCCCTGCTGCATTTCCCCCATACCATTATTGAAGAGTTTCTAGTTGATGCGGATGTTGTCTGATTTAGCTATGGTGTGTATATAATGATGTGTACAATATATTTAGCTACTTGTAAAACTGGTGCTGAAAGCTGTGGTGATGTTGCCAGGTAGAATCACTGATGGAAATGTTTGATGGAGGAAAGTTGGAGCACAAAATCATGGAAAAATCTGGACGTCTTAATTATGCAATTACTGCATGGGAATCAGTAAAGGCTGGAGTTCTTGAACGGCATCTATCGTACAGATTCAAACGACAGATTTCAATCTTTGGAGGGGAAGTCACCTGCACACAACGTAAATCTCCGCTTGCAAACGAAAAAGGGTGGATTGTTAAAGAGCTCATGGTGCTACATGATGTCCCATTTGCTGACCACTTCCATGTATTATGTCTCCTTATTATGCATTTAATGCTAAGACGAGTCATTTACGGTTTTGGTTCTCTCATTGATTTTTTTTTTTTTTCCCTGCTTGCAGGTCAATCTTAGGTACCAGATTGAGAAATCATCCCTTGCTTATTGTGCATGCAAGTGTGATGTCTATTTTTGGATCACCTGGTTGAAAAGCACCAAGTTCCAACAAAGAATCACCCGAAATGTAACTGAGAAATTCATACAATTAGTGAGGGATATATTTGAATTAGTCGAGAGGGAGATACTTTTAGCAAATCATGATCAATGTTCCATTCAACGCGGAGATCTATATTAATGCTTATTTGATTCACTCTTCAACAAGAGCATGTAGCTTCTTATTATTTTTTTCTTCTGGATGCCTTTCTACTTGCACCAAATTCAAGTTGGCAAAAGTTGGACATTTAAGTTATCAAACATGATATATGATGCTAAACTGATTTGTCAAAAATGATATAAAATCCTTTTGAGATTATTCCTTTGTGACATGCGAATTTAAGTTGTCACTTATAGTTTATAAGAGATAAAGATTTAACCATTCTAATTAAACAAGTGTGGAAATTACTAGAAAATTCATGCAACTGTTAAGAATTTGTTAAAAAGTTCTCAATGATTTGTTAAAGCAATAACACTAGCTGTGTTTTTACATCCATAATAGTCTGAAATCCGTGACAAGAACTTTGAATTTGGGCACTCTTTAGACTTGATCATGAGTGTATGATAACAAAAAGATTTGGACTAACTGTTCAAACCCTAAAACAAGGATAAAAAAGAAACCCAAGAACAAGAATAAAACGGGAAATATTTAATCTGCAATATTCTAAAACAATTTTATTAAAGCAAATCATATCACTCGAATGCCCAAGCATTCTCCCTGCGAATTTCTGCCTCTTCCTCTGGGGTAAAATCATTCTTGATACCAAAGAGTTGGCGAATTTCCTCAGGTTTCTTCCCTTTTATCATGTCTGCAACTTTTTGTGCGAGTTGATGAAGCAAAACTTCAATGTTGAGATAGTTTGAAGCCAGGAGAAGATCATAGAAAACATCTTTGTCAACATCAACAAAATCAGCATCCCACCTTTTAAGTTCCTCCTTAGATGAACCACTCGCACGCTTGTTTAACCACTCTACAATCTTGGCTAGGGTTTTCTTTTCTACATTGAAGAGTGGAATCACATCTTCGCTGTAGCCATCCTCAGCCATGGTCTTGATAGTTTCAGATTGTAAGGCAGCCTTCTATTCCACCTCAAAAACTTCATTGTCACTGCTTTTCAACCTCAAGACCTTAGTAGTAGTAGTAGTGGTGGTACTCCCTGATGATGCCATAATGTAGGGCACGTAGTTCAAAAAAAAACTTAATGGAGAGATTGCAAAGTATGAATGATTAAGAATGTAGAAGAAACATCAATGCGTTAGGGTATTTATAGGATTTGGGGCATTTTTTATCCCTCTCGGACTAGGATTATTTCTAATCCAAAACAAATAAGTATTCCTAATAGAGATTTGTAAAGGCGGTTAACATGGAATCCTTGTCTTATAAGGACTTGGAAGTATGATGCGTCCTTAATTTGTACTACACTCATTAGTTCTAACGTAATTAGGTTCTATTAATTACCATAATTTATTCCGATAGGGATTGTTAATTCTTTTGTTTTCCGCTATGTTTGTACCAATTCAGCAAATTAGTTATTATAAAAGATTTAGTCAAAATTTACATCTTTATGTTTGTAAATTTTAGTCAATTCAACCCAATTGGCTATAAAAAAAGAAAAAAAAGAAAAAGAAAAAAAATAATACAAATTTAACTTTCAAATTATCCAATGTCTAAATAATACAAAGTTAACATTCAATTTCTCCAACGCCAATCTAAAATAAACGTCCTTACAACTACTACAAAGGAAGAAGAAGAAGAAGAAGAAATTATTTACTCATTTTAAATTAAAAAAAAAATCAAATTTTATGTTTATTAAATTATAATATTAACTATGTATTGGCACTTGAAACATAGAACTTTATTAAAATAGCCAATGAAATTATTATTTTTTATTTTTAAAATTAATTTTATCGATAAATGCAACTGTTTTGGATTAAACTTAATGAAAAACTATTCATTTTAAGTAAAATAATAATAATAATAATAATAATAATAATAATCATTTTTTTTTGCTTAACAATTGTGTAGTTTTAATGTGTTGTTTCAAGTCTATAAATAAGGCATGTTGAAGCATAAAATGTTTTTTTTTTTTTTCTCTATTCTCGTTTTTCTTATTCTTTATATTTAAAGGGTTAGTTGTATCTTGTAACTATTGTGGAAAATAAATAAACTCCTTAAAAAGTGATTCTCACGCTATTATTACTATTAATATTTTCTACCTTTGTCCCAAATTGTTCAAATAACAACGCTAAAAAGGATGTAGGGCTAGCGTCTAAAATACTCAGAGAGGCCATGACTGTTTTTTTTTTTTGAAGAAAATTATGAAGTAGACCTTAAGCTTAAGCATATTATTAATAAAATATTATATTAAACCCATTACAATTATGTGTTTTCTATTTATGTCCTTGCTTATTAAAAAAAAAAAAACTAAAATAAGTTACTATTCATGTATTATGCTTTGTGACTCATTTGTACTGACTAACACTCATTTCTACCGTGCTAACATCATCCATGTATATAGGCCATTCTTTCTTCCTGCATCTGACGTGTCTTGTCCTTTAGCGTTCAGTTTTGGGCTCACTTTTTTTACAAATATATATATATATTTTGTGTGCTTTTGCTTCTTTTTCTGTTTCAGTGTTGTCCTTACCAAGTCATTGATTTATTGCCCTTATATTATGTGCCTAATTTTATTTATTTATTTTGCCATTTGGGTGGATGTGATATTACTTTTTCCTTTTCTATTTGTTCTCTTTTTTATTTGTATTTTGTCTTTTTTCGTAACTTTACTCATTTCTTTTCTGTAACGTTTAATGCTTGGCATTAATGATGTACGCTATTTTTTTCCTTTCTTTTCTTCTTTATTTTATTTTATTTTATTTAATTGTAGCATTAACAATTAATAAAGCACATTGAAATAGAATGATGGATTCTTAGTGTTTTATTTTGTTCGTGTTTTTCTCTCATCTCGGTTCTTGATTATTTAACCTAAGAATCATGGAATTCATTCATCATATAAAATGAAAAATCTTATCTCCGTCATCACTACCTCATTCATCTTTTTCTCCTTCTTCGAATCCTTGAGCTTTTATCTCCGTTCTCCGAAACAAGGATTGTTCTCTCGTTTCACGAGTGATAGAACTAAAAACATATCCAAAAAATCCTTCATCATCGGGTAAATTATTTTATAATAAAGATTGATTTTGTAGAATTTTTTAATGGGCTTTGCTTAAAATATAAAAAGGACCATATTTTGTTGTAATACGGGTAAATCACTTCATAATAAAGATTAATTTTGTAGAATTTTTTTATGGATTTTCTTAAAACATAAAAAAATTATATTTTTGCTCTAAAATTTTCATTTTTAGTGGTTTAATACGAAGAAAATGATGGATTTTTTTCTAATTCTTTCCTCAATTCGAATGGATTCGTTTATGTTCAATCATATGTTCAAGGACTTTTTTGTAATAGGGATGCTTGAATTTCATGAATTGCAAAAAAACTTGGATATTTGATTTAGTTTTTAAAGTTTTGTTTGATTTTCAAAGTTCAATGTCCGATGGGCATTTTTTTTTTTTGTGGCAAAAGCATTATTAATTCAAACTCACCCAAATAAGAAATTAGCAAAAGTTACCAAATGATTAAGTTTTTTTTCTTTTTTTAATGATTGTAATTAAATTATCTTTGATTTTTACTTAACGAGGTTATTTAATTTATTGACAAAAAAGGTTAGGTTGCTACTTGCTTGTTGCAACTTCTTTATAATTGTTTTTTTTTTTTTAATCGCTCAAAATATTATATTATGTCATCTTATGTGGTTGTTGATAGAATGTGTGTTCATGGAAGAGAATTTAATTTTGTTGGTTTTTTTTTTCTCATCAATTTTGAATGTCTCTTTTAGATTTTTGAACCGGGGATGGCTTTACGATGAAAGCTAAGTCAATATTTTTGATTCGCCAAACTCACTAATTTCATGCACAAATTTTTATTTTTTGAGCATCTAACATTGGGATTGAATCACGCTATATCAAAGCGATTTTTCCTTTTTTTTAAAAAAAAATTGAAATTTGGAGCATCTTTTTTTTTTTTAATTGTTTATTTTTATGAAATACTCAATGCTTATAAGTAATGTTTATAAGTAATATTTTTTTTCCCTTTTGAGTTTATAATAATAGTAGATATGATGACATTGATTAGAGGTGACAATAATTAATTGCAATTATCATTAGAAGTCGTTACAGAATGAAAGGTTTAGATTGCTAGGTATTGAAGTATGGTGATGCTTTTGGTTTTCATATTCTTTTAGCATAGAGATCTGAGTGCTTCCAGTTACCAACGAGTTTAGTAGTGTAATTCTTTGTTTGAATACCAATCTTGAAAAGTTCATAAGAAGTTGAAAGATTTACGAAGTGGTGTGTAGGCTAACTAAGTGTAATGGTTCTAAAACCAGGAAAATGGTGACAATGTTTTTATGGAGAGCTATTTGGCTATTTATGGAAAGAAAATGAACTTTAGTTTTCTTCAAATTTGTAGATTTTCCATATATTCTTTGTTATATCATTCGTTGCTACCGACTTTTACTTTTTTATTTGTTTTTAAATTTTAGTATTTGTATCTACGGTATGTTATCTAGTTATCTAACAAGTTATTATTATTATCTTTTTTTAACTCTTTCTTATGCAATAACTAAAGATTTGGCCTTACAAGGATCTAAAATCTTATTAGCTCTCTCATTGTTTTTCTTTCATGATAATTAATTGACAAGTGCTTTCTTCGTTAATTTTGGTATTGTTATAGCTTTGTCATAGATATTATCACTACTTTTTATTATGCTTGAATTGAAGATAATTTACTTATTATGGACTTTTTTTTTGCTATTTTGTTAAATGTAACATTTTAGAAGCGAGATGGAGAAGATTTGCATAGAGGGCTAGAAATATTAGACTTTATCTATATTTTTATATTGGATTCATGTTATAAGGAAATATTTTATTTTTAATCTGATTGGAGAGTTGTCTATAAGATATATATTTCAAATCTATTTATACCTTGATGTTATACCGATATTTGTCTCTTATAATTCTTCGATGAAACATTAAATACTTGTACTAGAATTTGCATTTGTTTCATCTCCATGTTAATGATTTTAAAAATTGGTGATTTAGCTAACATTATCCACCCAATAGATTCTTCGAGAAAGAAACTAAAGAATTCAAATAACTTTTATAGTAGATTTGCTCATGAATTTTTAATTTTTTATTGCTAATGTATTGATGGATTAAAGGTTCTTGATATCCCTCTACTTGTTTTATTTGTTTTAATCATGTCCCTTTACTAATTTTTTTTCAATAATTGTGTCTCTCTACTCTTAATTTGTATTTTAATTTTGTCCGTTCGTCTAAATGTTCTAGTAACTCGTATCGATTTTTGACGATAGATGCACATGATGCTAGCATGTTTTTTTTTATTATTATTTTTTGCTTTCTCTCAAATTCAAACCCAAAAAGAATTTTTTTTATGTATATGAAGGAACAAAATAATTTTTTTATTTTAAAATTTTATTTCAAATCCTGTTAGAAAGTTCATATTTTTTTTTTTTTTTTGGGTTTGGATTTGAAATAAATTTCGAAAAAAAAATGCTCATGTTCCTTCCAAAACATAAAAAATTTTCCTTTTTGGTTTGAATTTAAAAGAAAGCAAAAAAAAAAAAGGGATGAAATTAATTATTTATTTATATACATAAAGGTAGAGAAAAAAAGGGGCATTTTGGGATTTTTTAAAACAAAATGTCATGTGTCGACTCTTGTGCATTTGTCATCGAAAATTGATGCATTTACTAGAAAATTTAGATAGAGGGATGGAATTAAGATGCAAATTAAGAGTAGAGAGACAATTATTTAAAAAATCAGTAAAGGGATTAGATTAAGAAAATAAAATAGTAGAGAGACATCTTAGACCTTTAACCCATACATTGACTTCTTACGATTAAATTCTCCAAGCTTGTGTGAGAATTGTTTAGCTTCACCTTTCTTTATATTGCTTAATGCTA